CTGTCATTCAGACACATGTATTGATCCCAAATCCAGTGCTCTTTTATCACAACAGGATTCTGATGCAAAAACTCAAGAATCAAACATTCATTGAAATTCCAAAAGAGTTGGGAAGAAATACCACATTCACTATAACTAGTGATGACATACGGCTGTTGAATATCACTGTCACATCACCCAACGGAACAGTTTATAGTATGACGAGTGATATTGTAGTTTACAAACCGACAGAAATGAAGGCTCAGTTCAATATACGATTGGCCACTGAAGGTATGATATAGTGTCCGAAATAAATAGAAAATATTTTAACAATTAATTTATGAATTTAAAGGCAAATGGAAAGTGAGTTTTGAGAAGAGACAACATGAGACGGTAATCGCATACTTGTCGGTCACCAGTGAGTCCAGAGTAGATGAGCCCATTAAAGTGAGGGCTTGGATGGACACACCATTTGCGGGGACCGGCAAACCACCCACGGCTGTCATTAACGCAGAAGTGACCAAAAGATATAATTATATAATTTGTGCCGATGTTATAGCTATGGTGGACAGACCCAAAGGACAGCCAATTTTTATTCAATTATACGATAATGGTTTGGGTGCTGNTAACAAAATAGTTGAATAAGAAAATTGCATAATTAGAGGATACTATAGTAAGAATTGAAATTCTGGACATTACTTGTTTTGTGAACTCGTTTGAGTAAACATTACAGTAATTAAAATCGTTATAAAAGGTTAATAAAACATGAATTTTATTGTTATGTTTTTGTTAATCTTAATATCGATTACAACACATATAAGCGATGCTTCAAAACCTATTAACTTTGTAAACGGGGGCTACAGAGGGGTCGTGATTGCCATCCACTCGGATGTTAAAGAAAGCGATCAATTGATCACAAACTTAGAAGAATTGCTGAGAAAATCGTCGGCTTTTCTCTATAAAGCCACTGAAGGCAGGGCTCGGTTTGTGGAGTTTGAGGTTATTCTTCCTGAGACATGGAGTAAGAAGGATGGCTACGAATCCATTGCCGGCTCACACTTTCTTAGCTCTCACATCAGAATCGCACCGACAGATAAAGTTAAGAGTGACGAGCCATACACTTATCAACCGAGAGGTTGTGGACAACCCGGAGAATACATTCAATTAACTGATGGCTTCGTTAATCAACTAAACGGAAAAACTCGAGATGACTTTGAATATCCAGGTGCTTTATATTTTTAAATAAATTTCTTTAAAAAGGTTAAAGAATTGTATTATATTTAAGAAAAGCATTTGATTCACGAATGGGCGCACTATAGGTATGGTGTGTTTGATGAGTACGGCATTGAAGGCGACTCGAAATACCCGTCATTTTATTTGGAAAACGGAACCGTTTGTGATAATCATTCAATTTGTTGCACAATTATTTTAAGTTTACACATTACTTATAGATATATCCGACAACTTGTATAAAAGGAATTAAAGGTAGACAGGAGGACATGGATGGCAATCCGTGTAAGATTTATAGTGGGGGTCAAGTGGACTCCAACTGTCGATTTATTCCCGACAAATCGGACAATAGTGCCGTCGCATCCATTATGTTTATGCCTCACATCCAATCTGTGAGTACCGTATAATTTATACAGTATATAAATATTTCAATTATATTCATAAATTAAAATATTTTCAATTAATTGAAGATTGAAAAGTTTTGTCTAAACAACACAAATGACACAAAACTTTTACATAATAATTATGCGCCCAATAAGCACAACATTCAATGCAATTATAGGAGTACTGCAGAAGTGATCGAAGAGCACCGCGACTTTAAAAATCAGTAAATAATTTATAATTGATTATAACTTTAATAATAAAAACTTTAAACTTAGAAATCCCGATACATTGAGTGACGGATATTCAGAGCCAGTCATAAGACTGATACGAATCGATGAGGACCAGAGCTCTCGGTTTGTGCTCGTATTGGATGTGTCGGGAAGTATGCGGGACTTCGGGAGGTCTGCACTCTTGCACAGAGCGGCCACACGTTTTGTCAATGACCTCATCCCCGATGGCATGGAATTAGGAATCATTCAGTTCTCGACAAATGCAACCGTTTTGCACCCAATGATCACAATCAATGAAACTACTCGTCAGAGTTTGGCAGCAACTATACCGAAGATACCTGAGGGTTGGACAGCAATTGGCAAAGGATTACAACTGGCGCTCGAAATGCTGTCTGAGGACGAGGGCGGCACTCGTGGGGCGACTATTATATTGATTACAGACGGCGAAGAGAATCAGAAAGAGCCCACAATTGAGGAGATCATACCTGAAGTTTATAAGGCGGACATCAAAGTGGACTCAATTGCCATCTCGACTGAAGCGGATGCGAGACTCGAGAATATATCGTCAAATAGCGGAGGAAAATGCTTTTATATGAGAGATAACGACAACGCGACCAATACTGCGATGGAAACCGCTTTTATGGGATTTGTCTCACAACAGGTGAACACAACTGTCAAATTGAATTATAAAATACATAATTTACAAAATATCTATAAAATCTCTTAGAGAAACATTGAAGTTCAATCGGTAACCATAATGAACAGAGAGTTGATAATAATTGATGGCAGATCTGCAACCAAAAAGGTGATCATAGATCCAGAATTAGGAATGAACACCAAATTTACTATATATAGTTATGATATTGAAAACATTACGGTCAAATTTAAGTCACCCGATGGGCAAATGTTTGATAAAAGTTATCGCAATTTTAAAATAGAAACTGGATTTAAGTACATTGAATTAATATTATTGGAGGCATCAGAAGTAGGTGTTTGGGAAGTGATTATAGACAAAAACTACTCTTATAATAGGGATATAGTCGTAGCGTTAACAGTGACGAGTGATCCCAAGAATCCTAATAATCAACCGATTCGTGTGAATTCATATTTCGGTGAACTAGAGGTCAGATATCCGGCAACTGCTCTCATTTATGCTGAAGTAATGAAAGGGCCAAATGGTATCATTGGAGCTAAAGTTTTAGCTATTGTTGAGAGGCCTGATGCTGAAGATGTTGAGGTATTTTTACAAAATTATTGACTGCTTGACTAAATTTCTGTAATCAAATACAATTAAAAGGTTGATCTCTATGATGACGGCATTGGAGCTGATATATCGGCTAATGATGGCATCTATACGACAGCCTTTACACAATTCACACAAAATGGGAGGTATTCGGTGTCCGCAAAGATTACAACAGTTCCAACAAAAACAAGAATAAGAAAAACTCGAAATCATTTCGCATATTCTCGTTCATCAATGGCTATTAAAAGTCTTAGAAATCTAT